GGAATCGCTCATCTACTCGGGAGAGCATTATCAATGTAAAGATGATTGGTTTTGTTTAGCGGCATATCAACAATTCTAAAATCTAAATATTTGGAACGGTTTTAGAACATTAACTAAATATATATTTGAACGCTATTGTTGGTCATTTTGCTATAAGTATGTATTATTGCCAATTTTACTACATAAATGGGTATTGTTTCTACTTTTGCTATAACTATATTTTGTTAGTAATTTTACTATGAATAGATATTGTTGTTAAATTTTCTACTTTTTTATGTACGAAGTCATTTCTGGTATTTGCAGTATAAAATTGTATTTTTATGAGTGTGTAAGGTATTGTAGTCAACAGATATGAAAAAGTAATAATAATAATAATAATAATAATAATAATAAGAAGAAGAAGAAGAAGAAGAAGACCATATTATCTCAGGATGTTCGGAACTAGCAAAAAATGAATATACCCAGAGACATAACAAGGTAGCGACATATGTGCACTGGAAGATATGCAAGAAGCACAAAATCGAGACCACTGAGAGATGGTATGAGCACCAAATAGACACAATTACTCAAAATAACGATGTAACTATCCTCTGGGACATGCCTATTCAAACTGAAAGGGAAATAAAAGCCAACAGACCAGATTTTATCATAAAAGACAAGAAATTCAGGAAGTGAATGCTTATTGACATAGCAGTACCATCTGAGAGAAACACCTCCATGAAAATTATCGAGGAATTGTCCAAATATAAGCACCTGGAGATCGAGATTAAAAGAATGTTTGAAATAGAAGACTGAGACTGTACCAATAGTAATCAGAGCACTGGGCCTCGTGAGAAAAGGAATGGACATTTTTAGTAACAGTATCCAAGGTAACATCAACATAAATGTTTGCCCAGGAGATCGCCCTACTAGGAACATCCCATATACTATGAAAAGTGCTATCAGTTAAATGGTAATTCTCCTATAGGGCCTAAGGACCATAGTTTGGATCCGGCTCTACAGGATACAAAGCAGGTAACATAACATACACAATTAATAATGATAATGCAAAAATTACAGAAAAGCCCGATTTACAGAAAAGAAACAGATCGTTTCATTCCAAGTAAGAAAAAATTACTATTAAGGAGATAGGACAATAAAAGAACAGCAGTTAAGAAAACAGAATATAACAATTGTCATCGCTTTAAAATTTTTGAAGATCAAAGTTGACTTGAAAGAAGAAGACGGAAGAAATTTCCACAAGCAAGAAGTGCGTTAGAAGAAACTCTTAGCATAGAACCTACGGTTGCATATCGCCAGTTAAACTGTAAAACGATTAGACCTTATTGCAAATCTAGTACTGCGTTTAAATTCATAAAGTCTAGGTGTCAGGAAGTTCATCAGGACAATTATCATGAATGCATTTATTGAAAATGCAGACGAAATATTATCGGCTTCCATCTTTATTGAATATAGTTTAACAATAATTCGTCACTATATATATCTTCTTCTTATGTCGAAAAAAATTTCATATAAAATAAAACCATAAAACTTTGTAGAAATGTTGTTTGTCTTGAGAAATATAATAATGTAATATTAATCAACCTGTCAAAGAGCTTAACAAATCAAATAAAAGCAAATGCCGTGTATCATATGCATAAACGATGCTAAGATAAGCCATCTCATGGTCAATAATCTGCCCGGACTAAACACACCGACAAAGATAAATGCCATGAGTTGTTGTAAGTGTTTGGACAAAACCCATTTTCATCGGTAAAGATCAAAAAGAGTATATTCCTACGTTCCTTCATATTATGTTAAGTTAACTCTTGCTTACCTTATTTATAAAAAACAATTTCAAAGATACCCAATTAATAGAATGTTACTCTTCTTCAGATAGTAATTCAAAAGGAAACTTCTGATCTATCATTAAAACGAGACAGGTAATGAGAATGTGAAACAATTTTCAAACAAAGGTCTCTGGGAAGCAATAATATCAAATTTGAAAAGTCAGTAATGAAGATCATAGAATATCAATTAACATAGATAATAATAATAATACTCAAAATAAATGATTAATTATTTAATTGAATGTAATTCTTATTAATTGAAATTATCACTGATTTCTTTTCAGTACGTTTTTCCATATCCTACGTTCAGAGTCACATCGAGTGTAAATGTTACAAATAAGAATATAATGATTTATTCAGGAATCCTTCCTTCATAGTCTGGGTAACTCTTCCAAGAAGACAAATAGAATTTTATGAAACCTCCAAATTTGTAGACTTCGCCATGACTTCCATAGTAGCCAAATGTCTTGATCTTGAGGCTCAATGCATGCCGTGCTCTTCTTCAAATGAAGGGGTGATGTTGACGACCCCGAATTCTGGTAAATTTAGTAACCTCCAACATACTGGTGATGAGTAGGTTATGCCGACGAAATAGATATTCATAGTTGAGGTAACAATGATCTTGATTATATAGTGTAGAGTTAAAAGATAATACCGAAGGTTTTATTCATGCTGCACTTGATCAATGTTTGCTAACAGTTTAGCATCCATTGAATATAAAACTCGGCATGATAGAGTAGGCTAATATTTGCACTGAAAAAAATATACAACGTTTACAGGAACGAAAACTGAAAGAAATTGGTATGAATATCACCCAGACCCTGTTAAGGAGATAGGACCTGTAATAATTTTATGGGACTTTACAATACACACAGACAGAACAATCAAAGCTAATCGATCAGACAACGTGATGAAAGACCACAAAAACAGAACATGTTTTCATATTGGCATGGCAGTCCCCGTAGATTGTAATGTATCTTTGAAGATCTTGAAAAAAAATTGTTTAAGCACGTCCGTCTGGTGCTACCCTCTTCTGCCGGTCTGATCATTGAGATCTTTGCCTATACCGCCGTTTGGGGTGTTCGGGGGTTGGTCGCGTTCAGTCTAGTCCTTCCTTTTCGAACATACCGCCATGGATGGCCCTACAGGATTTGGAACTCCAGAAAGCTTCGCTTTTGGGTTACTAGGGTGGGGGGTGGTGAAGAGGATTCATAACCTCAAAAAAAAAAAAAACTAAAAAAAGAAAGCAAAACCAAATGCAATGTACCAGATACAGAAACGATTTTCATTGTCAATACTCTCCTTGTAGCGAACAATCTGATGTAGACAAACTCCTAAACATCAGTGGCTACGTAGTGCAGGGTTAAAAGCTGAAACTGAAAGTTCTATTCTTGCTGCATAGGACCAATGTTTGCTGACAAGAAATTAACAAGTACGCATATTGAAAAATTGTGTTAACCCGAAATGCAGAATATCCAGAAACTATTGACCATCTTTTATAAGGTTGCACGGTGTTACCACGCATGAAATATAAAACACAACATGATAGAGTGGGCCAATATCGGCATTGGAAAATATGCATCTTTTACGGGAAGGAAACTGAAAGAAATTGGTCTGAACATCACCCAGACCCTGTTAAGGAGATAGGACCTGTAATAATTTTATGGGTATTTACAATACACACAGACAGAACAATCATAGCTAATCGATCAGACAACGTGATCAAAGACCACGAAAACAGAACGTGAATTCTTATTGATATATCAGTTCCTGTAGATTTGAATCTATCTTTGAAGATCTTCATATAAAACTATCAAAATACAAAGATGTTGAAATGGAAATCTAACAAAATGTGACACATTAGGTCATCAATAATTCCAGCTGTAATTGGAGCCCACGGGTTGATTGGAAAAAGGTTCCCATAGACACATTGAAAGGATTCCTGGTAGCTCATGCCCTTTTTTTTCTCTTGGAGTTGCCTTGCACCTAAAATCATATCGATTTTATTTATCTTTTACAATTTTATTTATCTTTTACAATTTTATAAAGAAATAAATTTGAAAAGAAATCTTTTTATTCAAAAAATTATTACATTATGTAATCTACAATGTCATATTTGTTATTTACTATTTTATAAATAACTATATCATTGAATTATTCACAATTTTATATCATTGAATTATTCACAAAATTTTTATATCATTGAATTATAAATCA